TTGCCTGGCAAGCCTGAGGTCATGAATTCGATTCCTGATACCAAAAAAAAAAAAAAAAAGAAAAACACCATGCATATTACAGTTTTCCTGAATAATTTTGACTTCTTGTTTGCATGATTTCAACATAGGTAGTAACATATAGCCAGGTTTCATAAATCATGATTTTGGCTGCTACAGTCTGTGGCAGGCTAGGCACTGATCTATAGAAATGGCAAGACTGGGGAGGAATTTCAGAGACTTTGTCTAGTAGGTGCCAGGTGTCACCAAAACTGTCTTATCCCCTCCTCCCTCCTTTCTCTTTTTGTAGTCTGGGGATTGAGTAGGGGGCCTTGCTCATGCTAGGCTATGCTCTACCACTGAGCAACATCTGCCTCCCCATTAGTCTTGTTAAAATGGAAGAGTTGTTTGCGCATTCCCAGTACTAGGTCCCTATCACATAAATAGCTTGAAAACATTTTCTCATTCTGTGGATTGTCTTGTCACTTTCGTCCACAGGTCTTACACTTTAGCGAAATCTAATTTATTTTCTTATTATCAGCCCTAATGTGTGTGTATTCTTTAAATCTACACACACATCCTATCTGAAAATAGAGACAGCTTTACTTCTTCTGGTCTGGATGCCCTATGTTCCTTTTTCTTGGCAACAGTGCCTGTAAGTAGTGTTGGATAGCAGTGGTGAGAACAGACATCCTTGTCTTATTCCTGCTTTAAGAGGAAATGCTTTCAGCCTTTCACTACTAAGTATGTTAGATGCAGGTTTTTACACTTGCCCTTGCCCATGCTCTTTCTGTCTAGATGAGTTGTTTTTTTTGTTTTTGTTTTTTTTTTTTTTTTTGGTTTTTCTCCGGTACCGGGAACCGAACTCACGACCTTGCGCTTGCAAGGCAGGCGCTTTTGCCGCTGAGCTAAATCCCCAGCCCCTAGCTGAGTTGTTTTTTGGATTTTGAGTTTTTCAGTTATGAAAGGGTATTAGATCTTCCTGTCCCTCCTTAGTGCTAGAAATGGAGATCTGGCCTTGAGTATGCTAGGCAAGTGCTTTACCTCTGAGTTACTCCCCCAGCCCAGGTATTGGATTTTTCTCAAGTGCTTTCTTTGCATCTGTTGAGACAATCCTGGAGTTTCATCCTTTATTACAAATTTGATATATTACATTGATTTTCCTATGTCAAACCAACATTTTATTCCTGGGATAAACCCCACTTGGTCCTTATGAATAATCTTTTGTGTGTGTGTGTGTGTGTGTGTGTGTGTGTGTGTCTTTTTGAGACAGGGTCTTGCTATGCAGTTCAAGTTGGACTTGAGCTCATTTTGTAGTCCAGGCTGATCTCAAACTCCCAGTGATCCTCCTGCCTCAGCCTCCCGAGTACTAGGATTACAGGCATGCTTCACCACACCTGGCTGTATAATCCTTTTTATATTATGCTGGATTTACTTTGATGGTATTTCATTGATGATTCTCATATCTATATTAATTAGTATATAAGTCAGCTTTCTCATTGGTGGAACAAAATACCTGACATTCACAATTTGAGGAGAGGTTTGATTTGGCTTACAGTTTCAGAGGGTTTCAGTCCATGGTCAGCTGACTGAAAGTCAGAAACAGGGTGGTGGAAGGGGCTGGCAGAGGAAAGCTACTCCATTCATGCCAGCCAGGAAACAGAACAGGAAGAGTCACAAAGAGAGATACACCCCAGTGACCCACCTCCTCCAGCCAGGCCCCACCTCCTCCAGCCAGGCCCCACCTCCTAACTGCGCATTTGTGAACTCCTTAATAGACTAACCCATTGATACATGTAGTGTCTCCACAGTCCTATCACCTTCCAGGAGTTCTACCACTGAGCATAAGACTTTTGGGGACATTTTAGAGTTAAGCCACAATAAGGGACATTGGTCTGTAGTTTCCATGTGATGTGTTCTGTTTTTAACATTTGAACTTTAACTTCACCTCCCCCTAAACTTCATTGCCCCTCTGCCCCGAGTGGGAGGTAGCTCCTTGGTGCCAAAGATGTGTCCCATGGTGTGGAGGACCACCTAGGCGATTCTCCTTAAAGAAGGAGCAATTGTCTCCATTTTGGCTGAGGCTGACCCCATTTCCATGTATTGATATGTACAGAGCTGGTTAGGACCTTTTCCTTATCCCATCAGTTGGCTTTAGGTAATACATATCAGTGTAGCTCAGGTGCTGATGGTAATCGTTGAAGATGGCAGGCGTGTTTCCCCAGGCCCCCGTTGTTTCCACAAGTGAGCCAAGATGAGGCGGGATGTGTGAGCCAGTGCTCCACGCTGTCACTGTTGGCTGGGATCAAGCCTGGGGATAGAAGCTATGACTTCCTGGGCTTATAAGATTATACATCAGAACTAAAGCACCAACCCCAAAACATCAGGTACTATCTCAGTTGTGTTATACAGATTACTCTTTCTGCGTATCCTTCTCTCTGCATTTGCAGAGGGGATTTCACGCCTCCTACCTAGCCCAGCTCGTGGCACTCACCTGCTTCCCAAGGTTCTCACAGTCACTCATCCTCAAGCCACTCTGTTCTTCATGAAGAATAAAACCTGGCTTCAGCCTTGGGTTGAGGCTTTTGCTCTGGATGGCCATCACTGTGGCTGGACGTAGGACCCCTGGGCTCCCCATAACTACGGATATGCCTCAGTGCCTTTATTCTTGCCAAGGATTGCCCTGGAAGTGGTACATTGGAATTAACCCACTAGGATTCCAATAACTTTTCATGGGATTACAAATATAAACTTCCTGGGCCACGACAAACACTGGAAAGGGCTCTTTATACCATGGCCCTCACATCCTTAGAAGCCAGCACAGGGCTTGTCGTTAGGGTGTCAAGAGGTGGTAATGGAGACCAGGTAGGCAGCACCTGCTTTGTACCAGGTCTTCTCTGGATCTTTGGGGTTCAAGTGCATTTGGATTTATTTTTTCAGATAGATGTCACTTTGTCGCTATGTTCAAGTGGCCCAAGGCCTGGGCCATTTTACCTGTTTGTAACAGTCATGCCAACAGCGCTCTTGCCTGTCCCTGTGCCTGACACTGGCACGGACTTGCACACAGCTAACTTTTCAGTGTTTGGTAAATGGATGAAAGGGAGGGCTTTTTTTATTGTTTATTGAGACAGCATCTTGCCATGTAGTTCCAGCTGGCCTTGAATTCATTATGTGCCATATAGTTCCACATTGGCCTCAAACTCACAGCAGTCTTTCTGCCTCAGCCTCCCAGTGCTAGGATTACAGGTGTGTGCCACCACCCCTTGCCCAAACCTGTATTTTTATTTTTGTTAAGAATTAATTTATGTTAATCTTTCCATTCAAGAATGAGAGTTGCCTCTCAATTTGTGTTTATAGTTTCTTGTAATTCAGTCATTTTCTTTGCTTAAGATTCATCTCTCCACCCTTTGATAACTGTTCCTAGCTACTGGTTTTATTGCTACTTTTTAAAAATACTTTTTTTCAGAGTTTTATTGAAAGGTTCTGGCTGCATATGATAACCAGACACTTTCAGAGCTCTTCCATGAGTCCTAAACTGGATGAAGATGGAGCCGGAGCAGCACTGTAACCAGCACTGTTGGTGCCCTTGGGGCACCGGCAGTATCTGCCCTGGATGGCTCCTTCTCCATTGCTGACAGTGTGATTTGGGAATTCTTCCAATATAAAGGAGATATGCTTTCACTTCATGTTAGTTTTTAAAGCTCCAGAATAGAATTTCATCCAACTACTATAAAATCTATGAAGATGATTGCTTTTTTTTTTTTTTTTTTTTTGGTGTTTTGAGACAGGGTCTTACTGTGTTGTTCAGGCTAGCTTTGAACTACGTAGTCCAGTCTGGCCTTGAACGCTCGGTGATCCTCCTGCCTCAGTCTCCTGAGTGTTGGCAGTACAGGCATGCACTACCATGCCCAGCTGATTCCTTTGTTTTTTGACAGGATCTCAGTCCTGCTGCCTTGGGCTCTCAAGTGCTGGGATTACAGGTATATGCACCATGCCCAGCTAAGATAATTTTGTCTTCATGTGTACTTGGGGTGTCTTAAGATATTAGAATTCCTTCACAAATTAAACCACACTTGGGCTGGGGATTTAGCTCAGCTGCACAGCGCCTGCCTGGCAAGTGCAAGGTTGTGAGTTCGGTTCCCTATACCGGAAACCAACACCACCCCCCCACCCCGTCGCCAAAAACCAAAAAAAGCCACATTTGTGTTTTCTAACCTTTGTCATGAATGTTTTTCCCCCCAGAATGTTTTCAAGCTTTTACCTCTCCAGGAAGCCCAAATAACAACACTTTTTGTTATTAAGGTAGTCTGTGACCTGTCTTAATTGTCATTGTCAGCAATGGAAAAGGAGCCATCCAGGGCAGATGCTGCCGGTGCCCCAAGGGCACCAACAGTGCTGGTTACAGTGTACTGCTCCGGCTCCATCTTCATCCAGTTTAGGACTCATGGAAGAGCTCAGGAAGTGTGTGGTTATCATATGCAGTCAGAGCCTTTCAATAAAACTCAGAAAAGAAGTACTTTTAGACAGTAGCAAAAGTATTACCTCCCCCCTCCCCCGCCCCGTACCAAGAATTGAACTCATGACCTTGCGCTTGCCAGGCAGGTGCTGTGCCGCTGAGCTAAATCCCCAGCCCCTAGCGAAAGTACTTTTAAAAAGAGGCATAGCTGTTGCATGGACACGTCCTGGAACTCAGAGCCTGCAGGTCACCTCCTGGGAAGGAGCAGGGAGGGCTGATGTGGAGGTGACAGACCATGCTGGTGCTCTCAAAACAGCGTGGTTAGGGAGGAGGAATACAGAGGCAAGTACAGGGTGCAGTCTGCAGAGGAGTAGGAAGCAGAGACGGGAGGCCATGTGGAGAGGCGCGGGCTTTCGGGACTGTCATGGTGTGACCAGACCCTAGCATGTCTCCTCTTCCCTCCCACTCAGGTCTGGGCAGTCAGCCCTGTTCCAGCATCTGGTACCCACAGCTCCCACCCAACCCTCGATGCCTCCTCCAGTCCAAGTTGTGTCTGGTCCTGAACATTTATTGAACAAAACATAGAAAACGTAGTCACTGGAGCAGTATGCACATGTGGAATGGCTCCTCTGGAGAGTATTCTCTGTCCACTGGGGTTGACTGCGTTGAAAACCACAGGTAAGGCACATGGCTGGTGATATGTCTGTGGTGCAGGGACTCCCCCTCCTTGGCACAGGAGTGAAGGTGGAAAGCAAGGGGCTCCTGGGTAGACATCCCCACCTGTCCTCCAAGGCAGGAGGCCAGCTGCTGTCCACCAGCCAGTCACCGCTGGCACCCCAGCTCATACCTGAGGGATGGGGTAGGAGGCACAGGCAGCCAGGCCACACATGTTCTTCCCACGCTCGATGAGGAAGTACCTGAGCAGAGAGGAGTCTGGTGTTGCTGTTTTCACTACAGAACTTCCTAGAATGTTTTGGTGCCCACCGGAACCTGACTCCAGGGGTTGGGGGCCTCCAAATTTATTCATGGAACAGTAACATTGGGCTTAATTTATCATCAGGAAATACGTGATTTAGTGGGTAATTTATTCCTCCTTCTTGGCTACCAAATTGGCTCATTTTCTTATTCTATCCATATACAACTCCAGGATTGTCTGAAGCTCCCTTCCTGATCCCTGTCTAAGCCCTAATATAGCCACTTAATCATGAGTAGGACTCCCTAGTGACAGTAACACTTTCCTTTTCAGATGAGGGTACAGAGTCTGAGAGGAGCCCCACAGTCACATGAATACATGTATACACTCAGTCTCCTCATTCTAGCCTTTTGTTCCCAGAGGAGGAGCTGAGTGGTCAGGAACACATGTATTGCTTGATTTCTCAGCATCAGAACCTTGCTAGACCAACTCAGTTCCAGCAGGGTTCTCAGTGCTGAGCAGTTTCCCAGCAGTGGCTATACATTCTCCTGAGCCAGCTGGCCTCCTGTTCCCTGGAAGGACCTAGGCTTCTCTCTGGGTGGAGGGTGCATGGTCAGGCTCCCCTCTTCTGACCAGCTCCTCCTGGAAGCCATAGTCAGATGCAGGAATGGCCCCCTGGCCACCATGCCCTGGCAGCAACCCCCAGCTCAGCAAGGGACTTGAACTGCTTACCCATCATTTCCCCACTTTGTGCCCCAGGAGTTTTTCACAATCCAGTAGGGTACACCATTGTTTACTCCATACCCAACAGCCAGTACTGCATGGTTCACTTTATCTGGAGTTTTATGACAGGAAGCACTGGAAATAAAAAGATGTTAATAATATAGGATGGAGAAAACATCCAGCCATGGAGGACTTGGAGCCATGTGTCCCCATGGGGTGTGGCACATGGGGGGGCGGGTGAAGGGCTACCCCTTTTGTTCTTGGTACTTTCGGACCCCTGCTGGCATGGGGAGTTTCTGTGGTGCTGGACACCTCTGGTCTCCCTACACTGGGGCACCTTCTGCTGCACACCTGCAGGCTACAGTGTCCACACCACCATGCTGCCCCTGTGTTCACTGTAAAGGTCACCTTGTATTTATGGCACATATGTGGGCTCTCCATAGGGGGCCGTGAACTAGTCTCCCTGAGGAAAGCTCAGGAAATCAGGAGGACACGCTGCAGGGGTCACAGGTGATGATCTGGGTTTGGCATAGGCAAGGTGCCAGGGGTGTTCAGCAGACAGCTCTTTCCTGTCCTTGGAAGGCTTGGCAGTGAACTGATGGAAAAAGTACAGCCTCTGTGCAGCAGGATGGAGGCTGGGCAGTGGGAGTCCCAACCCAGTGGGGTGGGGGCAGGGGACACCACGAGACCACAGACTCTTTCATGCAGCTGGGGTGCAGGCTGCAGGGTGGGACTGGAGGGAACAGGGAGGGTCCCCAGTCTGGCTGGCCCCAGGTTTTGAAGGGTGCTGTGGCTGGAGGCATGCATCTGGAGGTGGCTTTGGCTGCCCACTGCTGGGAAGGGTGCTGAGGACAAGCAGGGAGTCAGAGGAGAGTGCAAGGGTAGCACACAGGGAGGAGGAAAGGTTGGCCAAGGGAGGAGGCTGTGCATAGCAGCCTGAAGGGGGACCCTTAGCAGGCACAGGAATATGGTGAAGGGGGCGGGGGTGCGCAAGCTGAGGTAGCAGAGGCCTGGGCAGCTTTGGAAGCTCTCAGCAAGCAGCCAGGGAGCATCTGAGACCTGGGCAGCAGGCTGAGCCCCTACCTGGGAGAGCACTATCTTGACACGGGGTGCTAGAAAGCAAGGAGACCATGGAGGAATGCTGGGGAGCAGGGGGAGCAGCTAAGGGGCACAGGAAAGAGATACTCTGTTTTTTTTGTGTTTGCTTTGGTTTTTGATTTTTGGAGATACGGTCTTGCTATGTAGTTCATGCTAACCTTGAACTCACGGCATTCTTCCTGCCTCAGCCTCCTGAGTGTTGGGATCATAGGTGTTCACTATCATGCCTGGTTGAGAAAACCTGCATTACAGACCCTGAGGAGGCTGGCTGTGGCTTAGGGGCTTTGTGCTTGGCTGGCATATATGAGGCACTGAGTCAGACCCCAGCATTGCAAAACAACCAAGCCAAAGCTAGCAGCTTTGGTTTCTCCTAAAGAACCCTTTGGGGGATTCTCCAGTACAGGAATCAGGTGTTTGGGAGCGGCTGCTTCTCTTCCCCGCTTTCCATCTTTGGAGATCTGAACATGAGTCCAAATGGGCAACACTATCTGTGTGGCTGAGGCTGTTTTTCTTCTCGCCCCCCCACCCCCGTACCGGGAATCGAACTCACAACCTTGTGCTTGCCAGGTAGGCGCTGTGCCACTGAGCTAAATCCCCAGCCCCCTGTGTAACTGAGGCTGGGCAGCCTCCGGACCTCTCTCCTGTTCTTGGGTGGAGATGGGTACCCAGCGCCAGGGTCATGTGAGGAAGAACTGAAGGACATATGGACTGCCCAACGCAGCAGGTACCAAGAATGGTCTGGCTGGGAGTGGGCAGAGCCCACAGCCCTGGTGCTAGTGTTGGGCCAGCCAGCCCTCCCGCCCACTGCTGCCCCTGGGACTGCTCACCTGGAGTAGATTCCACTTTTATATGACATAAAGTCTTCGGTCACCTCGAAGGCAAAGCTCACAGGGTTGTACAGGGCCACTGCCTCCACCATCGCCTCTTCATCATTCTGTGAAACAACACACAGAGCCTCTGTCACCTCCCATCACACTTTCAAAATCTGGCATGGCCCACGGCCCAGGCAGAGGTCTAGGGCAGTGTAGAAGACAGGGATTAAGCAAGAGCCTAAGACACTGCAGGGGGCTGTCCTTGCCTGACCAGCCGGGCACTGGTTTGCTATTAGAGGGTGTGGGCCGCCTTTTGTTGAGCAACAAGCCCTAGTTCTGCAATGACAAGATCGCAGTTCCACTCCATCCTCCACATCCTAACTTCACGCCCCTGGGCACATTGCTTAAGTCCCTGAGCCTGTTTCCTGCCTATAAAATGAAGATCAGAAAAAAAAAAAAAAAAAAAAAAGAAGATCATAACCGCGCTCACTTCCTAGGGTTATTTTAATCTGCAAGAGTGGCTGGTTCACTCCTGTAAGCACCCCATAAACTTAACCTGTTATTGCTGCCAAGTACCCTCACAGGCTGCAATTAAAAGGCAGTGCTGTCTACAGAGAGATGGCGTGTTTGTGACCTGCAGGTATGTTCCTAAAGTCCCCAACCCCCTCCTTGGCACACGACACACCTGCACACATCTGTGGAGGAGTACTCTCCCTCCCTCCCCACTGCTCTCACACTGCAGTCATGAAGGCCACTCAGACACACTCAAGCCTGGTCTCTTGTCAAAATGCAGGAACAACTGCATCCCCCAAACGCCTGAGGTGAGGTGTGACTATGCAGGTCTTTCTTGAATTGACCACCCTTTCCCCCAACCTGGGCTCTAGAGCAAGGCCAATGGCACAGAACAGAACCAGCCCTGCCCAGCTCATGGGCAGCTACAGGCTGAGATGGCCTTTTGTTGAGAGCCCTCCAGATCTGGGTTGTCTGTGACTGCGGCAGGACCCAGCTCTTCCTGACCAGCACTCACACACCCTGTCTTAGACGTAGTCACGTGCAGGCTGATGCTCTCTTCTTAGCATGGGGACTGTGGCTTGTATTTCATAGATGACAACATGAATGCAGACGGGAACAGACTGGGCGTGCAGAGCCAGCGTCTCCTGCCAGCAGGATTCCCTCTCACTTTTCCCTGCTTCCATCATGGCAAGTGAGTTAGCGGGAACCCTGGCTCCTTAGTCACGGCCTTCTGCCTCCTGGGCCCTGCTCCAGGGTCTCCCCATCACAACACACCCCCTGCCCCAGCCCAGAGAAGGACTCAGCACTTACGAGTGTGATGTTCACAACGTCCTTGACAAATGCAATGGCCTTCTGGGGCTGGAACCTGCAGCGACCATCCTGTTCAGTGCAGCAAAGGCCGTAGGATACAGGTCAGGGATACAGGTCAGGGACACAGGTCAGGGACACAGGTCAGGGACCCCCACCCAAGACAGGGATTTAGTCCCCACGCCATTGACTAGCATGTACTAAGTGGAAACTTTGTGTACCCGGCCTCAGTGACAGGTCATTCCAGACAGAATCTGAGGTACCCTTTAACTACAGGGCTGGGAGTCTGGAGCAGGGGACAGCCTGGTACGCACCAGGCTTGGTGGGAGCCCTGGGAAGAGACTGACAGAAATGAAGCAGCAAGCCTGTGTGGCAGGGAGGCAGGACCCTCAGCCCAGACAGCAGCACTGACCTGGGCAGGTGCAGGAGTCACAGGACTGGAGGGAGGGCAGCCCTGGTATTTGGGAACCAGTGTGAGGCCAGGTCTGAGCACTGAGGGGATGGGATGGAGACAAGGAGGGGATGGAGGACGGTTCTACAGAGCCTTCAGGACTCTGAGTAGAGCAGGCCAGAGTCCCAAAGAAGCCCAGCTCATGTCACAGATGAAGGAGGCCAAAGGCTGAGCCAGGCCAAGGGAGCTATGTGCAAAGGCCTGTGGTGGCCAGCAGGGTGGTCTGGACTGGGCACCTGGAGGCTAACTGGTTCTGAGGGGGCTGGAGCTGTTCTCACTGGGAGGGCAGTGCAGGAGGGGCTGTACGCTTGGGGGAAAGACAAAGGACTTGGGCAGCTTGGGCGTGGGTATGGGAGGGTATCAAGTCAGTGTCAGTCCTTTACATGGACCAGAGGGGACCAGGAGGAAACACTGGGCTGGGTGAGAGGTCCTGAGGAGGGGACCAGGGAGCAAGGGTGACAGAGGCCTCTGATGGGAGAGGGTCTCAGGTGGGCAGAGAAGACAAAGGAAAGGCTTCGAAAACAAGTGCAGGTGATTCTAGCAGGCCCGGTGCGTACTTGGAAGGCTGAGGCAGAAGGACTGAAAATCAAGGCCAGCCCAGGCAATTTAGGAGGCTGTTGTAAAACAAAATAAAGAGCCGAGTGTGGTGATGCACATCTGTAATCCTAGCACTAGGGAGGCTGAGGCAGGAGGCTCAATGTGAGTTCAAGGCCAGTTTACTACATTTTTTCTTTTCTGTCTTTTTGAGACAGAGTCTCACTAAGCAGTTCAGACTGGTGTTGAATTCACTTTGTAGCCCAGGCTGGACTCAAACTCACAATCCTCCTACCTCAGCCTCCCAAGTGCTGGGATTACAGGTGTGTGCTGGCTACTGGACTATATACTGAGACCCTACCTCAAAAGAAAAAGAAGAAAAAGAAAGAGACAGAAAAAGAAAGAAAGAAAGAGTCACTCAGCGGTAGAACAATAGCCTATCATGCATGAGGCCCTGTGTTCAATCTCTAGAGGTGCCAAGAGGACAGAAGCTGAGTGCCAGCAGGACGGGACACAGGGCATGAGGGGAAGCCTGTTGGACACCCTGGTGCAATGGAGAGGAGGCAGTGAGGCTCATAGATTACCTTGCCCTTGTAGGGGTAGGTGTCTTCACCCATGATGCCCTTGTTGTACAGGATGTACTCAAATGCCTGGCTGGGTAGACCCCTGTGGAAAGGGGGCAGCACACATGAGCTCCTGGGCCAGGCTGGCAAGGAGAGGTAGTCCCAGGGGTGGAGAGTGGAGCATGAACGCCGTTTGCTCTGGCCTGGCCTGCTGGGTCTTGTGGGTCTCGGAGCAGCCAGCTGTGTTTCCCTATTTGCCAGATGAGCCATGCATGGATCTGGCATAGAGGAGCCATGGAGGCCCTGTTGTGGGTCTCTCAGGTGGCCAGCAGAATGGGCCCTGCACCAGGCAGGCACTCCACAAATACTAAGGCTGCCTCCCCCTGCTGTGCCAGGTGGGATTTGCTCCTACTTCCTGAGGCTCAAGGGGCTGAGGCCCTTGTCCAGGGTGGTGGGGCTAAGGTAAGGCTCTAGTTCCAGCATCATGAAGTCACCCAGAGCACAAACACCCACTGCCGCTGTCTCTCGCATGTTCTCTCCACAGCTGTGTCACCACCTGATCTACAGCATGCTTGGCATCAGCCCTGGGTTCACAGGAGCAAAGCAATGCTGGGACTGCAGGGTTTGTGTTTTGCAAAAGCTGCCCAGTGGAAGGATACCCACAGTGGGAAGAGAGTGGGGCAAGACGGTGGGTCTGTAGCAACAGATGCTCCTGAGTCCCTGCATGTGCCAGCACAGGTCTCTGCAAAGCTGTGCTGTTTGCTGCTGGAGGAGGAAGAGCCAGGGCAGGTCTGGACCAGAAAGGGCACAGGAGGCTGGAGGGGAACTGAGGCTGAGTCAAGGGCCTGGCTTTATATGTGTTGTGTGCCAAGGAGCAGAACACACCTACAGAAATGTCTCAGAGCGTAGCACGTGTGGAGAATAAGAGGAAATCCCTACTGTCAGAATGGGCTGGCACATGCACATGTCACGCCTCTAGCAAAGGTCCCTCTTAGGGCCAGTGAGCTGGGTCAGCTGGTACCACAGAGACCACATCCAAAGGCCAAGGGCAAGCCCTTCTCTCACCTGGAGAGGTGACATGCCCTGAAGTGATTCTTATACTCCCCAAGGGCCCCTGCTGGCTGGTGAGGTGCTGAGCAGGGCATGGACATCAGGACCAGACAGGCCTGGCTGAGACCCTCCACAAGAGGGAGACCGCCTGGCTCCTCCCAGGCCAGGGTGGGTTATGAATGTGACAGTGATCCATCCATTAAGAGGAAAAGGGCTTCCGGCCCTGCTGGTGGTAGGAAGGACATACCCTTCGCAGCCGTGATTGTTGAAGCCCTGGGCACAGTCCACCAGCTGCTGCTCTGCCTGCAGGAAGAAGCATAGACCCAGTGGGCATGCCTGAGGCCACAAACTCCCTGAGCTTGGCCTGACTGGCAACATGTCAAGGTCGAGAGGATGAGCTCCCCAGGGCTGGGATATCTGTGTGTGTTGTAAGGTGCCAGCTGGCAGGCTGCAGGGGCAGTGGGAGGGCATGCGTGGGCACTGCTTGGTCTGAACACATGGCAGGGATCAAAGGGGCTCCTGGTATGTGCCAGGAGGAGATGACAGGCCTGCCCAAAGACCCTGCCCACTCCTCCTTGACCCTGGCCCTCAGGACCCCATCAGGCTGCCCTCCCCTGCCCTCTTCTCCCAGAGGTGGGGCTAGCATAGTTCCTCAAGGCTCTTCTCCTCAGTCTTGGGGGTCCTGGCTCTTCCCCAAGAAAGGCAACCAAGGTAGCTTGGGAAGGAGAACAGCTCCTGCAGGGCTGCCTCCCAGTGGGCTCTACTGTCTCAACCCCTGCTTGGTGAAGGTCCCAGTTGCCTAACTGAGGAACCTGAGGACTACAAGATCCACGCAGAAGCCAGGCATGGTGGTGCACGCCTATAATCCCAGCACTTGGGAGGCTGACACAGGAGGATTTTGCGAGTTTGAAACTAGCCTAGGCTACAAAGTGAGCTCAGGTCAGCCTGAACTGCATAGGGAGACGCTGTCTCAAAAAGAGAAAAAGAAAAAAAAAAAAAGATCCACCCAGAAAGGTGAGCCCATGGGTTGCCTCTGAAAAAGTCTTTTTCCAGGGTGAGGGTGGGGTTGTAGCTGGGTGGGAGAGCACTTGCCTGGCATACGCGAGGCCTTGGGATAGCCAGCGCGACAGCACAGCTGCTGCAGCCAACACCCTGAGGGGGTCCACTTACCAGAGACAGCATCTTCCCACTAGCGATGGCCACGGCTGACTCCAGAGCCCCTGTGGTGGAAAAGGTCCAGCAACTGCCGCAGGCCCCCTAGAGGCCGAAGAGAGAAGAACTCAGTCCTTGGCCACCATGAGGGGTGCTGCTCCTGGTCCCTCCAGGGCCTCGACAGTTTCTAAGGCCTGGCTCCATCCACCCTGAGGGGCAGGTGTCCCTGTCTGCATTACCGACGTCACAACCCAGGCCCAAGGAGGTGCACTTCTGACTGAAAGGCACCAAGGGCTCCCGGAAGTACCTCCTGTTGGCCAATCCCACAGCCTGCAAAGGACAGGCTCTCCTGACCCCACTCTGTGGTCTCCTTCCTGGCTTTCCTACTCCTGTACCTTTTACTGGCTCCTCTTCTGTTTGATTTTCTAACAGAATGTATCACCAAAGGTGTTTCTAGAAACGTCCCTGACCTTTCTATCACCATTCTCATTCTTTTTTTTTTCCTCTAGTCTTTTTGAGACAGGGTCTCGCTATGCAGTTTAGGCTGAACTTGAGCTCACTTTGTAGCCCAGGTTGGCCTCGAACTTGCAACGAACCTCCTGCCTCAGCCTCCCGAGTGCTGGGTTTACAGGCATGCACCACCACGCCTGGCTCAAAGACCAGTCTCATTCTATTCAGACTCTGAGCCTCAGCCTTGACCTTCATCCAGGACCAGATATTAGACTGACTCCTAGATGAGCCCACCAGACACCCCTGACCTTGGGCTCCGGCTCCTGCCTCTGCACACCTCCCACGATCTCCTGCCTCAGTCACTGCAGCCCAGCTCCCAGGGCAGCACAGGTTCAGGTGCCAGGCACTAGACCAGCCTGCCTAGGGCCAGCCTCCTCCTCTGTAGACAGGAAGATTGCCTGTTACTTAAGCAGCTTCCCAGTAATGAGTTCCACATTGTTCATCACTGCTGTGATTTTTCTTTCAGGCTCATCTTTGTCCCTTTTTGTCTGTCTCCTTGCTTGTCCTGTTTTCCATAGTCTACTCACAAAATGTCTCTTAACTTTCCCTCCGCCTATGTCACGGCCCATGTCTGTCCTCCCAGCTTGTCTCCCTGGAAAGAGCTGTTGTAGCAGCTTCTCCTTGTCTCTTCCTCTCAAATCCTCTCCTTGGTAGGGAGGGCAGAGCTGAGCTGAGCTGAGCTTCAGAGGCGGCTCAGCCAGTTGGGGGAACTGCACTGGCTGTAGGCAGCACAGCAGGACCTGTACTTGGAGCTGAGCCCTGGAGGGGGTCCTGTCACCGCTGCTCCTCTGGGACTCTCACATCTCCCTCTGTAAAGTGAGACACCATACACCCAGTAGACCAGTGACATGCCCCACACCTCCACCTCCAAGAGTGATACCCTATTTGGTTGTGTCTGGTGGTCCAGGATTTGTTGATGGGAGGACTTTGGACACTTGTTGGATCTCCCCTGGCCCAGTGCCGACATTCTCAGAAGCTCTACAATCCAGGTTCACACAAAGGTGCCTTCTTTCTCCCTCACTTCCTGCTGTGGGGAGCTCTGCCTGGACTCCTGGGAGGGCACAAGGCAGGTCCAGAACACAGGGAGTCTGGCAGGACATGCAGCAGCACCACGTGACTTTTTAAAAGTGAAAAATGTTTACCATGGAAAGTTTCTGTGACAAGTCAAGTGTGTCCAAGAAAGAAACTTAACCTTGTAGCCCTGAGACTGAAGAGAGCTACAGCACAGCCACTTGGAGGGAGTGTGTGTGTGTGTGTGTGTGTGTGTGTGTGTGTGTGTTGCTCGCCTTTGCCCTGCATGGACGCTCTACCCCACAGAGAGACCACCTCTAGCATGCCTGGCCCACGCCTGTGGGCACTGCTAGATTTCGCTGAGCTCACAGACTGCCTGGACCCACCCAGGAGAAATAGGTGGCAGATGCAGCTCCAGCCTGGTGCCTGAGGAGTGGACGGGGACAGGGGAAGGCAAGTCATGGGCACTAGCATGGGGTCCTGGCATCCAGTATCTGACTGGCAGGAGAGTGGATCTGCAGGGAAGACCTAGAAGTCACAGAGAAATAAACGCAGGGTGTGGGGCCCCGCCAGGGGAGGAGGGGAGGGAGTCAGCGCTGGTGCTGGCCCGTAAGAGCCACCTTTCATGCTCTAGAGGGGCTCACGCAGCAGTGAGCTCCTGACAGACCCAGCAGGTCCAGCAGATGGAGAAAGCTGGAACTCTGGTGAGGGAAAGGCAGAGCCAAGGCAGTGCTGTTGTGGTTCTTTTGGGTTCTGGCCTGTGCCGGTGTGGCTATTTGGAAGGGAAAGGCTAGAAACTTCCACACATACCTGATTTTTCACCGCGGAGACAAACTTTCCTTTTTTCCGCCAGTCTACAGAGGTTGGGTAGGGACCAGTACCCCGAAAGTAGTTACTTTTGGTGGCTGAGCAATTCTGGAACAACCAAATACATTATTTTCAGGAAAGAAACTAAAACAACTTCCCTCCCCAGCTTTTTAGTCAAAAGACATGTAATTAAAATGGAATCATTAAGAGTGAAAGAGAAAGACTACGGTCAGGTACCAAAACTATCGCTTCGGACTACAGGTCCCAAGAGCTGCATGCTTCAGAGCCCAGACTGCAAGATTCAGAAAAGGGTAGCCAGATTCAGCAATAGAAATACCGTTCTCATTAAATTTGAATTTCAGGTAATGAGATTCAAATCTTGTGTCATAAGTAGGCTAAAAATTATGTTATTTATTTGAAATCCAACTTTGACTGGGCATCTGTTTTATCTGGTAAGCTACGCCAGAGGTTCAGAATACTAAGGCCCAAGACCCAGATGGAGGCCACAGGGAGACAGCTCTCTTGCTTCCCTGAAGAGATGGAGACACACGTCTCTGGCTGGGGACAGGACTGATTTTAACTAGAAGCAGGACAACCCTCAGAGTTATCCCAAAGGTCTCAGTGAAAAGATCCAGATCTGTTTGCAGTGAACTACCTGAGGCTCTGACCAAAGATATTTGCGTTTTATTTCAGCAAAACTCATGTCTGAAAATTGATTCAGTGCCACTGAAAAAGAGAAGGGGTAAGAAAAGCAGAGACATTACTGAGCGAAATCTGGTGTTTACCTAGGTTCTACTATAGCCCCTGCAATTTGGCTCCTTATATTTTTAAATGTAATTTGGTTTGACAAACCAAGGCAAGCACTTCCTGTACTTCAGAGCTGCCTGGGGAGCTTTGCAATGCTACAGATGTTGGGGATTGAGAGAGGCACCCAGGGATGCCCAATGTAGCTGGTCTGGGTGGGGTTTGGACACCCAGTGTTTCAGACCCCCTGCTGCTGTGTCTGAGGGATGCCCAGGTAAAGGACTGCTACACCTGTGCAGGTGCCCTCTCCAGGCCACATCTGTTCTTTACAGTGGCTAGGGGTGGGGTGGGCAGCAGTGTCACCTTCACTGACAGACAGCCCATGCTCTCTGTGCCCAAGACACACACTGGGACTGGGCAGAAGTGACATTTGAACTTTGGCCTCCCTTCCTTCCTACTGCCCCTGGTACCAGTTTAGCTAAACTGCCACCACTTCTCGATCCTCAGCCCCAGCTCAGCATGGAGCTGGACTAGAGGCGGCCCCCTTGGAGGCTGTGTGAGACACAGCTCAGAGCCATCCAGACGCAGGACGGAGCATGTGCACTGGAAAGGAGCAGAGGCTTCACTAGAGCCTCCTGTGCACGTCACAGCCACCCTGAGGGGTCCCAGCACTGTCCCCTTTATAAGCTTGCACCCCATGAACTGTAACAACAGAGCCACAGTCCAGCATCAGCCAGGCACATGAGTCCCGGCCTCTGCTCCACACCCAGACGTTTTAAGCAGCCCTCCTCTTTCCAGATCTGCACTGCTCCCACCCCTGCCCAGGCAGCCAGGAGGAGCGGTGCCCCATGTACTTTTAAATGTGTGGTTCCCCTTGTTGTGGGCATTGATCTTCTTCCAGTTTTGGGCAAAAATCTGCTGCCTGTGGTGGTACTCCTTCACACTGTATTCTTTCTGGTGCTAAAACAAAACACATCAGCAACAGATCAAGGAAACAGAATGCAGCGCCCTCGGGGAAAAGTCCTTTGTTTTCTGGGAAGAGATGGAAGTTTCCTTGGTGCCATGGTGCTCAGGACAAGTCTGTGTCAGCAGCTGGGATGCTGCCCTGGGTCCCCACTATAAAATCAAGACATCACAAACAACTTTGGGCCTCCAGCACCCATGGCCAGCTGCCCAAAAGCAAGGCCTTGTGAAGACAGCTGCCCTGTGCGGGTCCCCAGAAGCCATGTGGTGCCAAGCCACCTCCATGGGGAAGACGACCACCTTCAAAGGTTCCCACGGTAATGCTTCTGCAGCCGTGAGGCAAGGTGCTCTGAATATGAAACAGGAAGGATTCCAAGGCTGCATCCGTCTGTCTGGGGCCGCCGTTTGGAATGAATTTTATTTAACTGTATCTTTCTTAGTGTTTGGCCAATTTGAAGCCAGGAAAGACCTCTGGTAGGTCAAAACTGGAAAATCCCTCTTTAGAGTCTCAAATCTAGTACAGTTTGTTTGTACAACAGGAAACTTTTCAAAATAAAAAACCTCAGAAAGAAGAAGTTGGGCACTGACCTGCACCATCCATGACTTAAATTGAAACTTCTCTGTAACAAGGAAAAAAAAAAAAAATTAGATCTGGGTGCCTCACGGTAGAGTTTCCAACCAGTAAGACAGTTTAGAGCTGATTTACATTCTAGAAAACTAGGCTAAATTTAAAACACCAAAGATGTTATCTAAGGCTAACTCAAATTCTTTTTGCTTTGGTACTCTAAACTAATTCTGAAAAACTATCTTTTTTTTGGTGCCAGCAACTGAACCTAGGGCTCCAGTATGCTGAGCATGTTTCTGCCACTATGCTGTACCCCCTAACCCCAGTAATACACTTTTTAGCTATGGCATCAGAAGTTGGGATGGGGTTTTCCTCAATGGGGACACAAAAAATACTTCTGGAAATGTTCTGCTTCAGCAGGGTGCTGGTTCTACAAGTGTACTTGCCATGGTGAAAATTCATTCAAGTGCATACTCTTAAAAAATATCTTCTTTATTTGTACAAAATATTATAATCTCAACAGTCGTCAGTCATTGATAAGCAAACTTTTCATTTAATAAGTTAACAGTGTCAAACTACACTGCACTACCTGTCAAATCCCCAGTGCTCAGCTGAGGCAAAGAGGTGCCTGGCACACTGAAAGGAAAGAGAAAAAGGCTAAGGAAAGCCAGCAGACACTTTAGAAGCAGTTTAAGGGGATGGATGGGCTAAGGGTCTGATTCCTGAGCACCATCAGATTTTTCTCAATATTCAAAGGAGTTTCACAAAATCATTTTTAAGACATTAGAACTAAGGAACAAAGAACCTGCACTTTGGGACATTAAACAGGTCAAAGTTGCTAGATTTGCTGATGAAGTGAAGAGGAAGGAAAAGTGGGAAAGGGAAGCAGAGCAGAGGCAGAAAAGAAATAGAAAGTAAGCAGAGGGAAAAAGGTTGTGCTTATATGAAGTAAAGCCTGGAACTGTCAAGAATAAAAATGAGGGGCTGGGGATTTAGCTCAGTGGCAAAAGCACCTGCCTGGCAAGCGCAAGGTCGTGAGTTCGATTCCCGGTACCGGAGAAAAAACAAAAACCAAAAACCAAAAAACAAAACAAAACAAAACAAAAAAAAGAATAAAAATGAAAAATCATAGCCACAAGTCTGGGAGACGAACATAATTAGAGAGAGTCTAGGATTTTACATCTTCCAGGAGGCGACAATAAACCCTAAATCTGCATAGTGGCAGGGGTGGAGAACACTAAGATGAAGCCATCTGTTTTGTAAAACACCCTTGTTTGTTTGATGACTTCCAATCTACACTGCTAATTTAAGAGCAGATGGCGCCAGAGCACAGCTACACAGCCGGCCAGGTGCCTGTACCACACAGAAGGGCCACCGGCAGTAGGTTCCGAGGAAACAGGACTCAGTTAATGTTGCTGTCAGGTGAAGAAACCATAGAACAGACTTTTTAAAAAACAATTCTGAGGGAGTGCTGAGCTACACACCCAGCCTTTTTTATCTTTTTAAAATTCTGGGTGGGGAGCAGGTTGGCAGGGTTAGAGTGTGTATGTAATGATTTGTGCCATTTTGTACAATAGTTCAATAAGATTTGCACTAAAAACCTAGAATAAAGGGAAGCAGAGTCTGGAAACTGACTCCCTGCACACTGCCTCCTCGGCTCGCTGCCGTAGCGCGCTCTGGTTTCTCTTCCTGCTCTGCAAGTAGAGTGCTGACTGTTTTCTTGGGAAGAAATTGCTCGCTTCTCTCCCCACATGTCCCAGGTGGGGCTTCAGGGGATCCCAAGCCCTTCAGGTGGGCTTCAGAGAGCGCAGACCTCTATCAGGACCAGAGTGTGCAGACGGACGGAGGTCAGGACCCGGGTCTGTGCTCTGGGATTTCCTAAGAAACAGGCCAGTGAGAAAACCCCAGGCAGAGCTACTTCTCAGGAAGGAAAAAGGGAGGACCCGGAAGCCGGGCCAGCAGGATCCTTGGGTCACATGCCTCCCCTCACAGCCCCAGGCTGGCCCCATCAGGATGGAGCTCATTATGCAAGAACCTGCCTCTCTGACCCCAGCTGCTAATGCCTTTTTGAAGGGTCCACAGCAGAGCTGAGAAGCCACAGCCTGGCCTCCTCCTGTCCTGCCCAGGAGCTTAAATAACTTGCTACATTTTTAACTGCTTGAGGGCAGGAATAGTAGTGATATTTTGTAGCACCTGAAAATCACTACATTTCAGTATCCACAAATAATGTTATGGTACCCACACAGCAGAGCTCACCCATTCACACACAGACTGCGGCTGCTTCTGCTGCCCCAAAACACCAAAGTCAGCAGCTGAGGTAGGACCTGGGGCTGCCAATCTGGAGGTCTGCTAGTAACTGCGAGTTCAGGCAGCTTTCTGCACTGCCCTCACCAAAGCACCGCTGGGCTCCCCAAGGGCCAGGCTCGCCAGGCTGCATCCGGGAGGAATGGGACAAGAACCTGCCTCTGTGACCTTTGCCTGTCCCATCCCAAGTTGGTCCTTGGCTTCTCTTCAGTGCAGGGTGCCTCTTGCCTGCGGTCCTTTAGGGCTGAGACCGGGCCCAGCACAGGAGGGGACGGCGGGGGAAGCCGGCGGCGCAGGCGACCTGACCTAGGTGCACCTCCCGCCCGTCCAGCCTCAGGGCAGACCGCTGCGAGCGCTGTCCGACACCGGGGACCCCCGCCCAGGCCCACGGCCTGGAATGGAAGAGGTGGCCATGGCTCTGCAAGGGGCCACCCCAGCGGGGACAGAGGGCTGCAGGAGTCGCTGGGCAAGAAACATGCCGCCCTGAGTCCCTCAGGACCACCCAGTCTCCGAACCCCGTGTCCCCCGGGCCTGTACCTAAGGAGCTCAACTTCAGCGCGGCGGCGGCTCGGCCCGAGGACACCAGCTGCCAGGCCCCGGCGCAGAGCAGACACAGCGCGGCCCTCATCGCGGCGGCTCCGTCTCTGCCTCTCCGGGAGGCGCCCCGGGCGGCTGGGGTGGTTGGGGCGGGGCAGCCGGCGCTGACCCCTCCCTCCCCCGCCCTCCAGCCTGACAGCCCCGCCTCGGCCTCCGGGTTGACCACATCCCTCTTGGCCTGGAGGAAGGAGACCACTGCCTGCCAGCAGACTTTGGTCTTTGGGGAGGCAGTGACAGCAGGACCAGGTACGGGGCCATTTATATACTTTGCAAACCTGCGGGAAGGAGATGCCAGGATATGAGGGTCCGACTGTGAGGCTAACAAGACCCATTTTTAGAGTCTGGCTTCATGTTCGGGACAGAACAGTCTCTGAGGCCTGCTAACGTGCAGGGAAGTAGGTCGGGCTGGTGGGTGCTGCCCTAGGGCTTCCCGGGGTCCTGCACCTTACTCACGGGTAGCAGTGCCCCCTTGCTGCCCAGTGCCAGCAATCTGAGCCCTCTCCTGGCTGCTGAGTGAATGATTCCAGCTCAGGAGAAGCTCCATTCCCGACGAATCTGGGTGCTTTCCCAGGCTGGTGATGAAGACAGTCTGAATCAGCGGCACCGTCCCTCCACAGGTGGCCGCATCTGGGGATCACAGGAGGTGCCCAGCACCTTGTCATGGGGTGGTTTACGGTCTATGATTCTGCCCAACTGCAAGCTAACAATGTAAGGGAAGCAAGGCTCAGCTGTGGAGTTCAGTGGGTTCTGTGTGTTCAATGCATTCTTTATTGATTTTGTTTTGTTTTTTGAGACAGGGTCTTGTTATGTAAGCCCAGGCTGGCCTCAAACTCCTGGGGATTCTCCTGCCTCAGCCTCCCGAGTGCTGGGATTATAGGCGTGCGCCACCAGGCCAGCTCAATGCATTCTTTTTGTTTGTTTGTTTGTTTGGGTACTGGGAATCAAACTCAGGATCTTGTGCTTGCCAGGCAGATGCCTGTGCCGCTGAGCTATACCCCCGGCCCCTCGATGCATTCTTACCTTGTAATATTTCACCCTGTGAGAGGTGTGCTGGGATCTGGCCCCACTATTAGTGAGGAGAAGCTATGTTTCCAGGTAAAGCAGGTCTTGGTCATGAATCCACCTTTTTCTGGACATCCTCCTGGGTGTGACCTTCCCCTGTGCTTTCAGGCAGGGGCCTCAAAAGTGACTCTGTGGTTATTGTTGGGACAGTCACTGGCCTCAGGGTGAAGTTGTCTTCCTTCCATTTTGCCCACCAGAGGAGCTGGAAATGCTGTGTCCCTTACAGTCGTGGCCACCTGGGCACTTGTTAGACCGTAGCCCTAGAGCTGGCCCTGTGTGCAGTCCTTAGGGCCCTTCCTTCATGGGCTGTGCTGGGGACTGAGGCCCTGAGTGGTGAAGTGTGCGGGACAGGGCACCGGCCTGGTCAGCTGGCATCAATGTGTGTTTCCACTGCTGCCATAGATCCCTGTGTGACCTAAGCAAGTGCTTTGCTCTTAGTGAGCCCTAATTTTTTTCATCTGTAAAAGAAGTGTATGTCTGCTTTCCTTCACAGCTACAGGTAAGTAAATGCCTGTGGCAGGGACCTTAGTGTGACCCTGGAGTTGTGACTCACCCCAAATGCCAGCTTCCCTGACACTCATTTTGTGCTCTGTCCTTGTCTACCCACCCATCTGGCTCGGCGAGACAGGGCCTGTGGTGGTGGTGGAATCTGTAGGCTCCTGTCTCCTGCTTATGCAGGCACTGGCTACAAACAGCTGTGAAGGGACCTTGCACTGCAATTAAGATCTAAAGCCGATGGCACTAAGTCAGGATTATTTTGGGCTCCGGGTAATCACATGCACCCTCAAAAGCAGAAGAAAGGAGAGGAGTCAGAGGGCAGAGAGTGAGGCAGAGGATGAGGAGGTGGGGCGGGCGGGGAGGCAGAGCCCAGAGTCACAAGAACCTTACCCACCACAGCTGGCTTTGAAGGGGGCATGAGCTAAGGGGTGGCCTCTGGGAGCTGAGAATAGCAACCACAGACACTGGGACCATGGTCTTGTGACTGCAAGAAGCTGAAACTACCAGGCACTGAGTGAGCTTAGAAGCAGGTGCACCTCCAGAGCTTGTGTTCCAGGCATGAGGCTGTCCATGGCTTCAGGCCCTTGTCCTGTTAGGACAGCTGGACAGAGCCAACCAATGAGTGTAACAGTTTCATGTAGTGAAAATTGCTGGGCGTGGTGGTGCACACCTGTAATCCCAGCACTTGGGAGGCTGAGGCAGGAGGATTGTTGTGAGTTCAAGACCAGCCTGGGTTACAAAGTGAGCTCAAGGCCAGCCTGAACTGCAAAGTGAGACCTTGTCTCAAAAAGATAAACAAAAACAAAACAAAACACGTGTTGAAAATAAAAGAAGGAAAGAATTGAAAAGAGAGAAAAGAAGAACTGTAAGTGAAAAGAAGAAGAGAGAAAATACACCCTGCACACAGGAGGGGGTAACTGGAAGTGTAAGAAGACAGTGACCACAAGGACTGTCTGTTGCTATCTTTTTTTAAAGTTTTTTTTTTTTTTGAGACAGGGTCTTCCTATACAGTCCAGGGTGGCCTTGAACTCATTTTGTAGCCAGGCTGGCCTTAAACTTGCAGATCCTTCTGTCTCAGCCTCCTGAGTGCTGGAATTACAGGTGTGTGCCACCACACCCAGTCCCAAATCGCTGTCTTTTGCAGCCCTGTTTTGATGTCAGAGCTGGGTACTGGAAACAGTGATTTGATTGTTCTCCCTGACTGACAGGTCACACCCTACTGTCCAGCCTCCTTTCTGGTAGGTTGAACCCTATTTTCCAGCCTTCTTACCACGCCCTAATCTGTCTGTGAGGAAGCCATGATCTCTGGCTGGCATGTGACTTTGCTCTGTAGGCCTCCAGCAAAGGAACCAGTCCAGTCCAAAGGGACCTTGGACCCACTGAGTTGCTGTGGAATAGTTGTATGCTGTTCTAAGCCTCTGTATTTGTGGTGATGGTTATGCAGCAGCAGATCTGCGCTCCAGGTAAAAGCTCGGCTGGCAGTGGTTCTGGTGACAGATCTGGGTGGTCTAAGGGCCTGGTACACTGGAGGCCAAAAGGCTGAACATCAGACTTGCTTCCAGGTGCAGGGATGTGTTGACCCCTGCTCCGAATGCCTGCATTTGTTAATCGTTACTCTCTCCCCACTGTGTGGATGAGGTATTTAAGCATTTTAGGTTCACAACTTATTTGAGGTAGAATTCAAACCCCGGGCCAAATGAAGCCAGCGTTCTGCCCCACAAATTATCAGTTTGCCCCAAAGGATCAGAGGGCTGAAAATGAGCTCTGAGGCCTGGGACCTTTCCACTCCACCAGGCCTGGATTTCTGGGGCTCAAGAGGGGTCAGGTCCAGCCGCCTATGCTTGGATTCCGTAGCTGCCTACTGCCCGCCTGCAGGATGCCTCCTCCAACTGGTAGTCCACCACCCCACATCCAGTTATCCTTTTTTTAAACTCAGAGCAAAACTTTATTTTCATACATGAAACAAAACAAAAAACGCATCAGTTACAAAAGTATTAAAATATAAAATAGTGACAAAATTTATACTACAAAATTTACAAGACCTATATACAGAAAACTAGAAAATGTTACAGAGAAATTAAAAATTTCAAGAAACATTTTAAGGTGAAACACACTGGAAGACAATTTTTTTTGAAAATCCAAAAGACTTGAAATCATTAAAACCATTCAGAGTTTTTTGTGTTGGTACCAGGACTCGAACTCAGGACATTGTGCTTGCCAGCCAGGCACTTGTGCCACTGAACTACATCCCTGGCTAAAACTATTTTGAACAGGGAGAAAAAACTTTGGAAGGCTAGCATGGTATTGTTTCCAGAATTAACATATATGTAAAATAATTTATTTACTCTTTCAGCTTCTCACACCAGGGAGACAATACAATGCCTGCACATGAATCTGATTTATTTCTAATGGATATGGACTCAAGTTGTATCCATTTATCTATGAAAGCCTCCAGTTTATCCTTCTTTATGGCTGAGTAGTACTCCACTATATAAAAAGACCACATCTTTTTTTTTTCAGCAGATATAAACATAATTTTATTTAGAAAGCTGTTCAAATGCAAGAAAATTCTGGTTCCATTTGTATGAACTATCAAAAACTTAGGGACAGAATGCTCTGTCATCTCAAATCATGTTTTGTTTGTTTTTTGGTGGGGTTCTGGTACCGGGAATCGAACTCATGACCTCATGCTTGCCAGGCAGGTGCTGTGCCACTTAGCTAAATCCCCAGCCCTCAGATCATGTTTTGGATGACAGCTTTTCAACACAGGATACACACAAAATCAAGGGGAAGTACCTGAAATGCTTCTCTAGTCCATACATCCTTGAATAATCTCGTAATAAGTTTCTTCAGCCACTGACAGTGTGGAAAGAAAGTCTTTCCTGTAGTGTTCTAAGAAGTCATTGGCGGCAGCGGCAGTGGCAGCAGCACTACTTCCAGGACCTACAGAATCCCGGAGCCATTGCCAGGCAAGTGAACATGGAGGCTGCAAGGTAATGAATTGTCTCAAGTTAGTTGGACTCCATCGGTGTTTTTAAGGAAGCAATTTCAGTGTCAATTTTATTACTGGTCTCTGAAATAACACTTTTGATTTGGGTGTCCTTTCTGGTAAACTCTGTGGTTGCTTCCATAAGTTGCTTTTCTTGATCTGTAAACATATCTGTTACTCTGCTCCTTTCTAGGTTGATGTACAGTTTATTATCTGCTCTAATTTGGCTGGTTTCATGTATCAGTTGCTGTTTCACATGATCTAATTCAATTTTCATTTTCACATTCTCTGCACTCAGATTTGCAAACTCACTTTTCTTCTAGGATGACCATATCTTTCCTGATAGAATCCAAATGAGCCATTAGCTGTTGAACAGTTATTTCCTGTTGCACTTGCGTGACCATCTCCTTATAGATAGTGTCCAGGCTGACATTTGATAAAGTGGTTCATGCTGATACAATTGTTTCTGCTTGTGGTTTGTCAAATTCATGAGTTCTAAATCCCGAACCAGTGCATGGGTATCAA